GCAAATATTTATTCAAAACATTTGTATAAACAGAAAGCACTATGAACATTCCTGTGAAGTATATGGGCGCTCTGAAGGGGAAATGAGAAGTGAATAACAAGGTGAAATTCATGGGCATTTCTGCAGTGGGCTGAGCTGGGGGTAAAGGACCAATGGATCTGTATAACATTGAACTTGTAGTCCCTCCCTGGCCTGCCCCCACAGTGGAATTCTGTGCTGATCAAGACAGGAGAGCCACAGATATGCTATTACAGTGTCAGTGAGGTGCACCAGCCCCTCAACACAACACCTGCCATGCATTGGCATTCCTTCACTATGACAGATTTTCACTCTGTTCTCTTCTTTCTGTCATAGGTTGCAGCATGGCAAATGCATCTGCCTCAATTTCCCTTCCCTTTTTTCTCCCAGAAATAGTCCAAACAGCTTTCTGAGTACAAAGTGTCCTGGGGCTATTCATTTATTACAGAAGAAAGCCCTGCACATATAACCCATAACAAACCAAGTCCCATAACTTTAGTCAGAATAGCACATCAAATAGATATTCACCATCTGTTACCATACTCCAGTAACGGATCTGGTATCCTTCACTACAGCAAACTTCTGACATCCCTCACTTTACTCCAGCTCCCAGTATGGTAGTGTCACTCACCACACCCCACTCACCACTACTGCTCTGGCGTTCCTCACCACATCCCAACTCCCCCAGTATGACTCCAGTGTCCCACACCTTGCCCCAGCTCTCCAGCACAGCTCTGGTGATCCTTACCATACCTCACTCCCAGTCTTCTGCTCTGGCCTTCTGCTTTCAGACTTAGCAGGTATTGCTCTTCCTTCTGCTGCTAGCCTTCTGAAGCCATGACTGTTTAGCTCACGGAAGGGCATCAGTAGGCCAGTCCCTTTTCAGGGTTCCTAGCCCTTTGTGGTTTTCAGTCTCTCAGCACTGGCTTTGCCTCAGGAAGCTCAGCATAGCAGCTCCCCACAGACTTCCAAATAATTCCTCTCCAGGTTCCAACTCCAAGGCAGCTCTCACTTATCCTTTTCCTGACTGTTACCAACTGCCCTGATTCACAGGGCCTTCACAACTCACTGGATCACTTCCCCCAGTCTCCTTAATCCTTTTCAGCCCCAGGTGTTGGCCTCACCCTCATAGCTGACTGAATCGGGAGCACCTGTTCTGGCAGAGGGGTGCTGGATCTGCTTCATTTACAGGACCCAGCCAAACTCTGGCAGTGATCTTAATTGATTATCTGTGATCACTGCTCTAGAAGACGGCATAGATAGTACATTTAAAAACAAAACAAGTCATTGCCAAATGTCTCATGGGGAAATTCGTGAATTTGGCTCTCAGAAGAATACAATTCATAACATTTAACTTGTATTAAGGGGTTCCTTTGTAAGCCCAAGATGTGTTATATGCACTTTATTAATTAAATATATATACATGTTAGTTTAGAGAATAGGATGTCAATCATATTAAAATAAGCATCATTCATCCATTTATTAGCCCGATGTCTTAATTTTTAGTCAGAAAATACAGGTTTAGATTTATCCTAGAAGTCAACAGGATTTAACACATGTAAATAAGGGCAGAATAGGCATAGCAAAGTGTCTTTCTTACTTCAAAAACAATTGGACGTAATTAAGAATATTTTGGTAATATGTTAATATATTATAATTTATTGGCGGCACCCTTTTACATTCTTCCCCTACTTTCATCTTCCAGCTGTCTTCCATACTGATGTATGTTATCTCTCAATTCTCGTGCTCCAAATTTCCCACTTTCCCTTCAAGCTCCACCTCTCAAAACACATTACTTTTCTAAAGCCTTTTAATACACAGCTCTCCCAGATTCCCGCTCTACTGCCCATTCATAACAACTATCAGCCCATGTGTGGCTGAAATATTATCTTCTCTGTATTAGATTGCAAGCTCAACTGGAAAAATGTTTTCACGTATGTATCTTGCTGATGCTCATTTAAGAAATACTGGGTTTAAATGAAGTTCATGTGCTCCATACACATAGAATATTAATGTATTCCAATCAAATACACACACACACACAATAACAATGAACAACAGAACTTTGGGACTTCATAATTCACTATCCAGTAATAGAAAGGTAATTCACCCTTAGCAGTTTTTTGAGAGATGTCCCCCTATCAGAGAGGAGTTGGACAGCTGGAAGATCTAGAAGAGGACAGAGAGCATCTGTGCTTACAGTCATCATTGGTGCCAATTGGAAAAGGGGGATCCCCACCCGTACATTGCAATGACTCTTGCACAAGCCTAGGAAATGTGGTGTGATATTGTGTTTGTCATTATCTGATAAAACCAAAGCCTTAAGGCACTTAAAATCTGTGCCAATGTGCTTATACAGAACAGCAACTCAGAGCGGAGTTAAAGATAAGGATACCAGTCTACTATATTTGGTACTGTTCCCAGCCAATAGTAATAAGGTCTTTCTGGAGCCCTGTTTAGTCTTAGAGCCATGGCATTTTCTCACATCCTTTCCCTCCTACAGCCTCAAGGAAGACATCTCAGAGGCTGCAGATTTGTCTGGAGATTGAGGTCTTTTCGAGGGGGAATCTATGGGAAACTATAGTTCGCGGGGAACTATATTTCTTTTTAATAGTTTTGGAGGAGGGCTCTGAGGGTTTCTCCTTCCTAGGAGAAGGTTGCACTGAGATGGAAGGAGCACTAGAAACTCCAAGGCTATGTCTACACTATAGCCTCTTGTGCCAAAACATATGCAAATGAGGCAAACTGTGGAATATTGCCATGCCTCATTTGCACAATTAATGGGGCTCTGTTTTTGCACAAGAGGCTTTTGCGCAAAAAGGAGCCATCTACATGGCTCCTTTTTGCACAAAAACCCCCGCTTGTGCAAGAGCCGTTCGTCTGCATTTTTTTCAGGAAGAACGGCTCTTGTGCAAGAGTGGGTTTTTGCGCAAAAAGGAGCTTAATTAATTATGCAAATGAGGTGCAGCGATATTCCATGCTTCACCTCATTTGAATATTTTTTGCACAAAATGGGGGCAGTGTAGACATAGCTCCAGAGACTGACATCTGGGAGGTCCTGACCTTGTTCTGAAGTGGGTTGTAGGAAATGTTCCATAATAAGGGATCAAAGTTTCACTTCTTCATTCCTGTGAGCATCTAAGATTTCAGGACTAGACAGAAGATGTGCATCTGAGGCACATGTGATTCCACCAGGCAGTGAACAACTTTGTCTGTCACTAAGTGTGATGGTTTCTTTACATGAAAGGCAGAATATAATGTTACACTAAAGAAGTCTTGATGAAATCAGTGTCTGTAATTCATTGCACAACTGCGTGCCCTGGAATAGTTAATATAATGCATTATATACCCCCAAATTGTATTTCTTCAAGAATGATATAACAGTGTAATATTACTTCCATCAGCCAGTATTTTTTGGTATCCAAGATGCCTTCTGATTTAATACACTCTTTTTTCTGTCTTGGTGGCAGTATAATTCTTTTCCTGGAGGCTCATCTCCCATAAAATTCTTGTTCAATCTCCTCTAATGAGGATCACAGGGATGAAAGAGCAAATTAAAGCAACAAGCAAGCTCACATGGCCTGCCTTCCTTCATTGACTTGGATCATTTCTGATTTGAGAAACAACTTCCCTTTACTGGTGTGAAAACAGATCTGCTAAAACGTGCTCCATTCCTCTCCCAGAACTTGTACATTTTCCATAAGATCCCTACTCATGCCCTGTGGCAGAGCAATACATGATTTTTAAAGCATTGTTTTTGACAGATCATGTGCTGAGATGGATTTTGGACAATGGCATTAGTGGCTGTGTGTGTTACCCAAGACCTCAGTTTTGCTAAGGGTGAGGCAGAAGGGAGGAAGAGAAGGGAATACAATCTTCCCTTTGGAAAGGAAAAAAAAAAATAGCAACTACTATGTGACAAGATTCTGGGGTACTACTATCCTGTCCCGGGTGAAATGGAGCTTAATTTAATCTCTTCTCTCTCTTTCCTTGCCCATACTTTCAGAGAAATGGGTGGCTGCTTGGGGAGAGAAGTGGGAGACTGCCTTTCTTTCATAAGGAGTTAACATTTGCACAACCTATTCTACACCACAGTGGAATTGCTGGATCAAGTGCTCATGTCCAGAACAATATACACTTGGGCCAACGTATAGTGTACTGGATCCCTAACTCAATTCCCTGGTTCATCCCTCAACTTGAAAGTCATATCCACCTAAACAGTTTTCTTCACTTCATTCCTTTATTTTAAAGATGCTCTATGAACAGCTCTGCAGATTTGATGCCTTTCTTCTGGCTATAAAATACTATAAAATGGCGTATTATCAAACATGCCAGGAAGACTTGGAATACTCTGTAGTATACAGCCTCAAAATGTGCAGCATGTGCGAAAAGTGCACATTAAAATACATGTTGTCAACCAATTTCTAACTTTGTTTATAAAGTCAGAGGCATGATACTGCATTATAATAAGTTTTTGCATTTAAAATGGTAACCATTAAAAAAACAGTGATTATCAACATGTATTTGAGATGAGAGCTTAAATTAATGCAACAAGTAAGTTCAAATCGTGCAATGCTCAACTTTGACATGGGCAACAGCATCATACAAATGAGGACCCCACAGTGACAAAGATTAAGACCATCATTTGTAGTACGAACTCTGCTTTCTGACCTTTGATCCAGGAAGCATATGTCTATTTCTAACTGAAGCACTCTTACTGGAAGGAACAATGCATTTCTGCCATGGAATTTTGCTGAGAAAGTATAGCATTGTAAATCAATTTTCCTCTGGGATTGGAATACAGACTCTGGAATGTCTGTCCTGCTCCAGGCAAGAATACACAAATGGTCAGACATGGTACAGTTACCAAATTATTCAAAGAAGTTCAGTTAACATCTTACCTCTGAATTTAGTATGAAATAAGAATGTTTAATTTTAGGGAGGAAGAGAAGATAAAAGATACCTAAGAACTAGACACACTATGATTTTTGCCTTTTTCTTTTATTTACTTTACCATTTACACAATCGTGGGGAAAGTATCCTAACATTTTCTGAGATCAAGCGAATTGTACAAAATAAATGTTAAACATACACAGTTTATTGATTTTTTTATTTACATAGCTTTATTCTTTTTGCCTTATTTCTCTGCTTCCCAGGAGCCCTAGAAGCACTGCATCAGCCTCCAGTAAAGTTGTGTCCGTTTTTGCTCCTAAGAATCTAGATGTGAGTTCAAGGTCCACCAGTCTCAGACGCACTCTGGAGCCTTTCTGATATTTTCTGGGAGGAAAACAAACAAAACAAAATGTAAGTTCTGTTAAGCTCTAGATATACTTACATCTTCTAGAATCTCTGGCACTAAGGCACCGAGGCCTCCATTCATAGCTCTCTCACAAGACTGTCTTTGTAAGCTTTAACAAGTCACTGAGCCCTTCCATGTCTCATTTTATTGCCTGTCAACTGACATGGATAATATTTACCTCCATATTTGCAAGAGCACTTTGAGATCCTAGGATGGAAGACAGATGTGCAAAGTAATATATTACTAGCTTAAATTCCAAATAGATACTAGGGTCTTTGGCAAAAGGTAGTAGATAATGACATTTACAAAGGAATGATTCACTTTATTCTTTATGAAGTTAACAGCGTTATTGCGTTGCACTCACCAGTTTACAGATTACTGTATTTTATGAATAACAAAGTTGAAAGAAAAAATAATTTGCTTTTTTTGTTTTTTAAAAAACCTTTTCAATTAACTACTCAAGCAGCTTCATTTTTAAAATTTTGCAAGGCACTTGACAGCCTGGTGCAAAACCCACTGAAGTCAAGAAAAGACTTCCTATGATTTCAGTGGGTTTTGGATTAGGACCTTGCTCCCCAATTTCAAAAAATGATTAAAGGGAATTAGTATGGAAACAAATACATGTACATTTATGTTAACTTTCCTATTGCACTTTAATTATGTGCATGTACACAGTACTATAACAAGTCTGTATCAAGTACCTTAATATAGATTAGAAAAAGCACCTGTGTTCATTCCTTAAGAACAAGGGGAATCTTTTAAATAAACGTTTTCCTTTTTTTTTGGACTGCATGGTTAAATTAATAGATGTGAATTATAGGCAGAGTAATTTTGGAATAATTTTCCTATTTCTCCTTGTTTTAGGGGCACAATCCTAGTAAATGTTTGTGCTCATGATCTTAATAAAGGTTGTTGTGTAACGGTTGTTTTGATACCAGGGCCTACAAATTTACCATAATTGTGAGTTAATAAAATTTGATCCAATAAAAGATATTACATCATTCATCTTGTCTCTATAAAAAGTGAATAACATGCCAGAACTTTAAAAAACAAATGTTGAAAGGACAAGGTATCAAAGGAAGATAAACTAAATTCATCCAAACAAAAAATGACCACTGATATAATTTAAGGACTGTGTTAAGATTATTCTTGGTAAAACTGATATGTCAGAAAGTAGGGCTGATTGTTGTACAAAATGATGAGGGGGATGGACCATTTTGTCTACCATTTCCATTGTAGGTCTTAAAAAAAAAAAAGACTTCTAGAAGAACAATTAGCCACTGGAGCAAGCTTCACCATGACCTGGGACCTCACACCTGATCCTGAGAGAGGTTCTGACCAGACTGGGCCAGAGAGAGGGACTCACATGACATTGCCTCCTCTACCAGCTCTTTCCCCCAAAAAAAGGACTGTTATTGCCATCATCTATATTATGTGAGAGAGTGTCAAATACAGGATTATTTCCCCCTCTAAAAAAATCTCTCCATTTGTTAAAATGAAATCCTTATTTAATACTTTACATGGGAAATGACTTAATTATGTTTCCTTCTCCCTGTGATTGGAACGCATGTACCATGACTACAGAGTGACTCGAGTTGGCAAATTTCTAATCACACAAAACCAAACACCTCTGCCCCATCTCTTCTCTGGGGCCCATCCCATGCTAACTCCATCCCCCCTCCCTCTGTCGCTCACCCTTTCCCACCTTCACTCCCTTCCTCATTTTCAATGATTTGGGACACAAGAGGCGGTGAGGGCTCTGGGATGGGGTCAGAAATGAGGAGTTCATGGTGCAGCAGGAAGCTCCAGGTTGGGGGAGCAGGCTGAGAAGGGGTGAGGACTCTGCAGTTGGCTCAGATATGAGGAACGCAGAATGGGGGTTCCAAACTGAGGCAGGAGTTTTGGAGTACAGTCTCTAGGAGGGAGTGTGGGTGCGAGACTGGGCTCAGGGCTGTGGCAGGGATTTGGGATGCAGCAGAGAGCTCCAGGCTGGAGCTGAGGGGTTCTGAGTGCAGAAGGGGGTTCCAAACTGAGGGAGGTGGTTTGGGGTGTGGGTTCTGGGTTTCAGTTTGGGTGTGAGAATGGTGGGCTCAGGGCTATGACAGGGCTTTGGGATCTGAGAGGGGATTCAGGTGGGGGCTCAGGGCAACGCTTACATTGGGCAGCTCCCTGGAAGCAACATGTACCTCAGCTCCTAGGTTGAGGGGCAGCCAGGCAGCTCTGCATGGTGCTCATTGCCTTCTCCCAGAAACCATGTTGCTGCTTGTGGGGAGACATGTTGGGAACCTTCCTTAGCCCTGATGAGCTGCAAACCAGAGTTTTAAAGGCTCAGTCAGAGCACCAGGGTCCCTTTTTGACCAGATATTCCAGGCAAAAACCCGACACCTGGCAACCCCAGGAGTGACATAGCATGTTTCATCTAAGGTGTGAACATCACCTTCCCTGCAGCTACTGCTCCTGTCTGCCAGAGACAACTGAGACATTGGGTACCTGAACTGAGAGCAGAGAGTTATAGCCTTATGCTTGATTTTTCAGTCTTAATGTTCTTTAAAAAAATATTGGCCAATAGTATGTCTTGACAACTGCTATAAAACCAAAAGGAAGAAAAATATATGTCTGGAAGGATTTTCTAAGTAGGTGATTGACATGAAAAACACATACAGTGAATGCTAATCAATAATAAGGGCCTAATTTGCATCTATACGGAATCCAGTTATCTTCAATGAACTCAGTCCAGGTGCAGCAATCCATGTTAGCTCCCACTGAGAGACTGGAAGTTACAATGGAGAACTATCAAAATGTTTTACTATATCTGCTGGTACATGCACTCCATTATTTGCAAGACTAATACAACATAAAAAGGGGAGGAAAACATCACTAGGTCATTGGTGACATTGCTATTTTCTGTTCAAAAAATAAAGGAAAATGGCTACTCAAGATACTTAGCATTTATTAAATATGGCTTATATCTTCACTTCTAAGTCTTAGGCAGGAAGCCTTTTGTCTGATTCTATCCTCCACAAATTTAGTATAATTTGCAAAGTCTCTTATAATGGAACATTCTGTCCAGAGGAAGAGACGCATTTGTATTTTATTGGTTTACCTTCCCCCCCCCCCAAAAAAAAAAAGGAAGTTGGGAGCACTGAGTGCTCAACACTTGATAAAAGCAGGCCCTAGCTGACTCAAGTTGGGCACCCAAAATTAGTAAACACTTTGATAATGATACCAATCTTCTTTGAAAAGTGCTCTGAGAGCTACTGACGAGAAGCACTATGTAAGAGAAAGGTATTATTTTTGATACTTTCAGCCATAAGTAGTTCTTACTTTTAATGCATGCAAAACTGAACACTTATCAAATGAGATTAACTTTAACAACAGCAGCCAACTGAAGAAGGTTTAATGGGCAAGTCTACCTGTTTAATATATATGTACTCTTGAAAAGCTCATTGTTTTTGCCTTTCAAATCAGAATTTATGGTCTGACAGCTAACTACTAGCACTGTATAAAACAGTGGGAATGTCTTCAGAAAAACGAATGGAATTGATCTCTCTTTCATGAGTCATCCAAGACTATAGAAAGACTGTGCTGGAAAACAAATGTGATCTTAAAACTGAGTACTAGACTCGTATGTATTTATTTTGAGATGTGAAGATCCCACTGGGGCTCCTGGTCAATCCTCTGCAGGGTTATGATTTTTGTTGTTGTTGTCTACAGAGGAGTAAAAACAAAAATTGCTAACATGAGTCTAAAGAAATAACGGTAGTAAGCAAGTTCTTGAGTGATGTTGTGAGACCTAACCCTGATCACATTTTCCAGTAACAGTACCAATGAATGCAGTGAGGATTTTTATAGAACACTTTTAAGTGAAAATGAAGGTATTTTGACTGTCCCATGTCCCAAAACATGAGTAAAATAATACAATAAAACGAGTTATACAGGATCTATTGGAAAAAGCTTTCTTTAGCAAAATATCAGCCTCTAGACTGCCGCTTTTCTCCGACAAAGCTCCGTGCTGAAAAAAAGCGGTGGCCATTTTTTTGCTAATGAAGCATGGGATATTTAAATCCCTACTTCATTAGCAATTTCGATCTGCATCCCTCTGCCGGCAGAGGCGTGCAGTCTAGACATACCCTTAAGCTGAATTATGCAGGATCAAGCCACTAGTTCTCCAGAACGGAGAGAATCTTAAAACTTACATATTAGCTACCAGATACAAACCTATTCCTTTTATACTGAAAAAGCTCCTTTTGATTTGATTACCATCATGATCCACTGACACCCAGATACTATAGTGATGGGTGTTTTACAAATGCAGACAGATAAGCCTGACCAAAAATATATATTATAAAAAAGTGAGTCTTATAAATACAAATACTTACAAATACTTTCCCTATGTTATACTTCTCACAGCTGTGAAGTTAATTTAATTTACCACAATGTCCCACAAGAATGCTTTAATCTCCCATTGTAGAATTATAAACAAGACTATTTGCTCATGGTAAGATTTGTAATGAACATTGCCCAAGTTCCCAGACATGCCTTTAACACATATTTGTAATGAAAGTCAAGTAATTGTATTATGGTGAAAGCATCACAGTTGCTTCAATAATTTGAACATAAATTCCAGATTCTTTGATAATTGGATTACGTGTGATTAAAGTAAGTTTTCCATAATCACAGCACACCTGCTTACAAAGGTGTACAGAAAAACATCACCTTAAAGCAGCTGACACAACTGTCAATTTATGTAGATATAAACATTTGCCTTTGTGACAGATGTTCCCTACAGCTAAGAAACTTCAGCATAAAAGATCAATGGAGGGTGTAGAGAAAGAGGAAACATGAATACTACTTGCAGTAGTTTCCCATCAGACAAGTTTAGAAGCAAGGGCAAATGATAGGTTGCTGCAGGCATGGTAATCATACATAAAACCCATCATTCTATCTAAGACACCAAAGTATTAATTCTTAAAACAAC